ATGTTTAATGCCAAGAAAGCAAAAAAAGGTTAAAGGCAGTGGAAAAAAAAAGAGAATTCATCACATTCTGATGCTCAAAAAGAAGAGTTGTCCATTCCTACCAATGTATACATCCTCATCTAAGTTAATACTTAATTTCATGTATATTAAGCACAAGCAGTTTTAAAGCTTTATCAGTAGTGTGTTCTGTACATCAAAGTGGCAAATTAATTGCAGTGTGTTGCTTTGTTCTTATCTTATTTCTTTGCATAAGTCCATGTTTGCTCTCCACGTTGATATAGAACTACAGCCTTTTAAGACAAGGTGCAAACAGGCAAGATATGCTCTGGCTGTATCTACTTGATAACTACTCTGTTGGGCATCCTGTTATGAACTCTAAGGGAACACTTTAAATTCAGCTTTTATTAAAACAATGACAATCTGATTCAATAATCCTAAATCAATTTGGCTTTCACAGGTGTGAGAATAAAATCTGTCTTCAAGCTATCACATTTTATTATAATTATTGGTTAAATATCCTAACCTCTGAAACTCAGTAGCTACTGTGCTACATGAAGTGAAAATTGGCAATAATGCTGTGAGAGTCAGAGGCTGAGGGATACTGCAACCAAAGGCATCTTCCCAGGTCAAGAAGAGGTAGGAGGAGTCATATCTTCCCCTACTCCATACAGAGAATTAAATAAGTACAAAACCCCTCTAACACCTTAATATCTGATGTCAAACTCCTCCGGACTGGGCACATGGTTTTAAAGTAATGTCCTTTTCTGTGTAATGGCCCTGGCAGAAAAGCAGGAAATGGAAAAATTGTTAAGCCTACCAGGGACATTATGTCTTCAGCTCCACAATCTACATCAGAATGTTCTCTCTTTGAAATGGTTGCAGCCATGCACAATGCTGGAAAATGCCACACCTTCTTCTTTGGTGGTTATTTCCTGATTCTAGCTGGATTTCCTGATTCCTAGCCACATTACCTCACAGGGCTGCAAGTGCACTCTAGATGTGTCAGGAAAAAACTACCAGGGACATTATGTCTTCAGCTCCACAATCTACATCAGAATGTTCTCTCTTTGAAATGGTTGCAGCCATGCACAATGCTGGAAAATGCCACACCTTCTTCTTTGGTGGTTATTTCCTGATTCTAGCTGGATTTCCTGATTCCTAGCCACATTACCTCACAGGGCTGCAAGTGCACTCTAGATGTGTCAGGAAAAAACAAATATTGAAGAAAGTATTCTGGTATTTGCTTAAGGAATAAGTTTGGATCTTCATTTCTGGTAATCTGAATAGCAAGAAAACCTGACAAAATTTCTAAGTATGGTTGTTCTATACATACACAAACCGTTGGCCTGCTAGCAACACATCATAAGTGATGGCATTCCCAACACTGCCTTTGGTTTCTTTCTGTCATCAAGAAAATTTTCTGAACAAACAAGTGTTCTGGTGTTACTTCCCTGGCTGATGTGCCATGCAATGTAGATAAAGTTAGAGAAAGCTCTAACTCCACTAAATCTTGGCTTTTCACCAAATTCAATAAGTGAAGTCAATGGCAAAATGCACAAGGCACCAATAAGCTGTTCTGAGTAGGAGGAACCTTCTGCCTTAGGGATAATGTGATATTTCAGGCAATGGCTTATAATCATCCTTCCCTGAAATGAGAGGTAAAACTAAGAGTGTAAAAATCTTATTCTACACTTCCCCCTTCCATCCTCTCCATCCTGCCTTTATTGATTAAAGAAACATTTATTGTTTTTTAAATTGGTTTTTTTAAGCATTGGATTCTGGGGCTTTAAGAATCAATGCATTTGCTCCAAGTACTGGATGCAAGGTTGCTGCTGAATTTATCTGTGAAATGTACCATGATTGTTTTTTTCAATTTATGAAAGTTCTCCCTTTCCACTGCATAAATGAGTATGTTATCATTTGGCTGCCTTGAGATGTGCCTGCAATGTGGAAGAGCATAAGCAAGAGACACTCTAAGAACAAGAAGCATTTATTAAATAGGACATTTAACTGTGCAGTGAACACAACAATCTAGAAGTTTCAGAAAGTTGCAAAGAGCTTTCTCCCTCAGATCTGTGATAGATGGGCTGTGATGCTTCACCCCTAAGCTCTGTGATGGTGCCTTCTAACTCAGGCTATGAGGAAGCACCTCCAATGATTTTCAGTTCTTTATCCTTGCAAATGTGAGTTTGAGCTTCATCATCAGAGCAGATGCTTCTTTTGAGCTCTAAGTAGAATGATTCAGAATCCCCAGCCCAAGGCTTGCAGGAGTGACTAGTGATTTTAAGTATAAAGATCGAGCAGGACAAGTTCAGATGCTCTTTAAGACCCTGCACACTGAAGTTCTACCAAAGAAAGCAGCTGAAATTTGGAGTGGTTGGAAACTCTTAGTCTCTTTTATAGTACTGAAGGCAATCTGGTAGATTGTGATGTATAGAAATGATACAACAAAGAGCTGAACTGGGGATCTCCTAACTACAGGATGTGCTGAAAGCTGAATGTTTTGCTAGAAGAAAAATGCAAGAAGGCTCTTCAACAAAAAAATTGTGCCTCAGGAAGCCTCTGAGCTGCAGATCACAGGAAGACTGCAAATAGCACAGTGTCACTATGTCTGGCCCATTCTCTCTGCCTTTCCTGGGTAACTGTTCTTGGTCATCATTGGAGACAGAATGCACTAGACTGACTTTTGGTCTGGTTTAGTGCAGTTGCTCCTCTAGCAATGCAAGTAGACAAAGAAGCAACACATGTAGACAAAGGTCAGCTCTAATTCATTTTACTTACACATGGTTTGATAGTGATGGCAACACATGTCATTAAAATAGACATGAACGCATAAAGAACATTTATTTTGTATTCTGCTCATGTTTTATATGAACTTGGATCTTTCAGCCGTGTCTCAGTAATCACAAGAAATCAGAGAGCTGTTTTGTGGATGATAGAAGTGAGGAACTGAGTTGATGAATTGTCAGTGCCAAACATAACACAGCACAGAGTTGAATGAACGTTCAAAACCAGCTTGGTTACAGAGCCTACAAGCCCAAGTCACTGAAGGTAAATGGTGAAGGAAAATTGGACCCTATCCAGTGCTACTGTACTTTTCAAAATGATAGAAATCTGAGAAAAACAGAATTTAGAGACGAAACCTCAAAAATCCATTTATATGAAATGTACTCCTCTCCCTTCAACCCACTCTCTCAATTTGCATACATGTCTCTCAGTAGTTAAATCACGAGACCTAGATGGCTCTTAAACTAGACATCTTTCAGGATATGTAATGTCTCTGTTTCTGAAGGTTAGCTTCCCATTGCTCATGCACCCACAAAACACTGTAGATATGTGAAGGACACAATTTCTTTTTATAGAAGATTTATTCTGTGATCCAGAACTTATTCCTGGGGCATTAGCATGAAGGAAAAAACCCAACTGGATTGGTATCTTCTGTGAGAAAGAAACTGAAGGGACTAACCATCCAAGATCTTGATCTTGTATGATTTATATTTGTTCTTTGGCACGACTGCAGGTGCCAGCCACTCCCAACGGTGGCACCAAGAGAGCCAAAGAGATGACATTTTCCCATCTTTTCATGCCAGCAACCTTTGTGGCAACCAGCATGAACCACGTGTGCACTGCATCCACTACACACTGAGAAGCACAGTGACAGACTGAGTCATACTAAACACCCTGTGAAGCACCTGACAGGACTGATACTCTGCACCACACCCTGGTGCAGAGCCCCATCTGCAAAGAACAATCAAGCTCTCCATTTGCAGAAATGCCACCCATACACAGAAACAATATCAGACTAAAGGTCTGATATGAAAGCTCTGAGAAACCAATTTGAAATCTCTTGCTGCTCTGGAGTGTGGAAGGCAACACACTGCCTATATATTCCTTTCCACAGAGATCTTTTCAAAATGACATCCTGATAATTCAATAAAGGTAAATGAGACAACAATTCTATGCTCCAGAATCTGATCTTTCAGGATCTTTGCTTTCACCATTTCCACTACACAATCAAAAGACATGTTTACAAACATGTGAAACTGCTAATAGTTCAGCTATAAACCCGAGATAGAGGTGTTCCTAGGAAATTGCATCCAGAGGGAAATAACAGGCAATAGTCAGTTTTATATGATTAAATAACTATTTTCAATAATGTGGAGGTAAGTGTATATAGTCTTTGCTCAAGTAAAGCATTAGGGGAGGTATTTTTTCCTAAAGGTACAACATGAAACTGAAATTGCAAAGCTGGTGCAGCTTGTGCTTACTCAAGACAAGCAAGGGCTTGATAAACCAAATTTGCTCAAGCATTTCATCTGCATGTTTAATGTTTTCACAGGTAGGCCACTTAATGCAAAGTACCTCCCAAGTTTTTGGAGGAAATGTAACTGCTGACACAGATTCTGTCCCCTAGCATCTGCTATTACATCAGGGGTAGGACTATCTCCAGCATCAAGAAAGGCTTCTGATAATCAACTCTCAGTGTAAGAGTGGGGGTGGAACATAAGGCACTGCAACAGAATTTATTCAAAGTGTGGGGAACTGACTTCAAAGTTTCATCCAATCTGCTTCAGAAAGATAGGCTACATGTGGGACTGTATGTATTTACATAGACTATTGTATAATTTAGAAGCATACTTCAGTCCTCCTCATCTCCCATTAGTCACTTCAATTCTGTACAGTAGTTTGAAGATGTGGAGTGCTCTGGAAGTGCTAAGTATTTGACTGATCACCTGTTAACCAGAAACTGAGTCTGTTACAGAGAATGAAATACTCTTTTCATTATCCTGAGAAATAGAAAACCTTCTCAACCAAGAAGACAGGGCTGGCATGTTCAACTCAAGGTCATTACAAGAGTTGCAACTCTATTTTCACTTTGACAGAGACAGAACCAAAAGCACAGTCAGTGAACCAAGGTCTGACACAACCAAAGTACAGATTACCCAGCACTTTATCATTCTGGTTATTGCTATTTACCTACTTAGTTAATTTTCCCTTACCTGAAAGTCAGAAGGCCAAGTGCCTCTAGAGGGTTAGAAAACCTCCAACTGCTCAACACAGCATACATTTCTGACAGAGTGGTTCGATCCCAGCTGGGTGCACTGCCCAGCACCAGAGGAATGGAGCAATTTTGATTATTGCAGTGGTAACGATAAAACCATAAGATTCTTCTCTGTTGCTCTGAGAGTCTGAAAAAGAAGATTAGAAATTCAGTTTGAAATTAAAACCACCTGGAGCTTTGTGTAGCAACAAACTTTATTGTACAGAGGGGCCAAGTCACACAGTACACTGCTTTTCGGCTAAGGATGTGTTTTCCTTGGGGTAGGATATCATTTTCCGCAGCCCAGCTTTTATAAGGAAAGTGATACTTATACTCTGGATCTGTCAGCCTTAGGTCATATAAAAATGAAGTGTCAAAAGACACACATACATGATTATTTCACTTCCCAAGCACTCTCAAGTTCTCTTCTCCACTGTCTCTGCTGGTGTTGTTTGGTTGTTTTTGCTATTTTGGGCTTTTTTTAAAGAAAGAAAATACACTTAATAATTTACTTAGGACCAGATATTTATCACCAGATAAAGTATTACCACACCCATCTGGCTCCACATCACCTCTAACTAAGTACTGTAACAACTACACACACAACACTGTTAGTCATAGCTTTTCTTCCTGCCCTTGCTTTGCACATTTACTGCAGGTGTGTCCATTTGTAATGTATTTGCATTTCAAACACAGTTTAGGCACATCCACAAAAACCTGAGACAAAAACAGAGTGTGATTATCCCCAGTGCTGAAATGAGTTTGGGAATGGGAAGAGAATAACTTCTGTGTCAGTTTGAGAAGTCTAGCATGTCATGCTTTCCTGTACTCACAGAAAAGGATGCAATATACCAAATTCCTCATGGAGATATTAGATATCTAAATGACATACTCATAAAGTGGTCAGTCATCAACACCATATTTCACCACAGTGAGAAATGCCTCTGAATAATTTCTGCTTTATGTCCTCTGATTTGTCAGCAATTCAGATGTCTTTGCCTTGTCCATATTAAACCCCAGGATCTGACACATCAGAAAACAGAAAAATAGATTTCCCTTGAGAGACAAGCTCAGACAATCTCCTTAATTTGATATCAGACCTTTCAAAAGCAAGTTCTGAGACAGCAAACTCATCTCCAGCTCATACAAGTCATTACTGAAATTAAGAACAACATTGGTTTCTTGGTCATATTTGACCAGATTTGTGATCCATTTATTTAACAACATAATTGGGACTTTAAATAAACCTAGGTATTTCAGAACAAAGTGTGAGAAACCTTGTAGAAAGCATGAAGTAAATAGTTTGTTTCCAGTCAAGCATTTCATTATCCAGATGTGTAAACAGGGCTGAAAATCCAAGTGTTTACATTCTTTCCAAGGTTATCTTCATTGTATTTGCAATGTTTTGGGAATTCTTAGCCCAAAAAAAAAAAAAATCTTAGTCCCACTCTAACTGTCAAGGCTGTGTCTTTCACGACTCATAGAAATGAGTTCCTTTGGCTCTCTCTGCACTAGGGAAGTTTTCTCCTTTGGAATTTTGAATTGCCAAGCATTTAGAAACAGAGAGCAGAGACACAAAGATGGGCAAGTTTTTATGGCCACAAGAGTGAATGCTAATTTCTTTTCTTTAGGAGAATAAGCTCATAAATGTATGCAGAGGATGAACCTAACTGTGATACAAATTCTGTCATGACTTTCAGGAGAAGTATTATTTTGGTAATCACTTCAAGAAACAGCTTCAGAATTCCCAGCATGTCTACTGTGACAATAGACAGATGCCTTTGTGATTGTGTGAAGGAGTCACACACAGAAAATGAGATAAAAGTAGGCCTAAGACTTCACTGCCTGTCTGGTTATCTTCTGCATTTGGATGGTATTCTGCAGGACAGTTCAGCTAAAGGATCCCTTTTCCTATGTTGACTTTCAGCTTTCAAACAGCATCTTCCAAACTAGATAATCTGTTGTTCAGATTAAAGCAGTTAAAGCTTCTACTGAGCTTGCAAAGGGAGATAAGAAATCAATCCTTGTATCATGTTTTCTAAATAACAGATTTCTCCCTTTGACTTTACTCCAGAGGCAATGCCAGTTTCTCTTTCCACGCTTTGAAGATCAGAGATGAAGTTAATGGTTGGGGAGAGTAGGGTTTGTATTTTAGGTTCTGATTTTAAGTTTCTCAGTTGCAACAAAAGTTTGTATATACATGTAATAATATATTTAAGATAGATGGTAAAAATAATTTGCATACATAGAGCATCTGAAGATTGTTATGCTAATAAGGACATTTCTTTGGCTGAATAGGGGTAAGATGCTAATAAACCTTCTTTATTGATGAAATGCAGTTTAGGGTTTTTAGACAAAGCTGTACCTAAATTTCACTCCATATAAAAGCTATATGAAATATAGCTATATGAAATATAGCTATTTTGTTCAACATAAATAAAACCAAAATATCTGAAAATGTAAATAATTCAGTGGGTTTCGGTTTAAAGTTTTCATCAATCCCTTTAGCTAAATGAAGAAAACAGCTTCTCTGCAAGCTTTCTTTGCTGGTCTTAATGTTACTTTTTGGGGTGAGGGAAATGGCAAAAATGAGTTTAAATGCTTCTGAGCTGTTTTTGTTGTTCATGTTCAGTACCAAAGCAGAACAAGACAAACCCAGGAAAGAGCAGCAAAGCTAGAAAACGCAAATTTCTGTCTCCAGGCACTGATTTGCACTTGGAAGTTTCTCTGCCATGGACAGACTAGAAAAGCATGCAGCATCACTGCACTTTTTTAGACCTCTTCCACTATTCACCCAACTGGAATTAGCCTTTCTAATTACAATTCAGAGCAACAGCACTCTAGTGACCACTGGCAGGTAAACTAGATTCTTACCAGGTAAGTAGCAAAAAGGAAAAGGGAAGCTGAAAGAGAAGTAAGGTAGAAGAAAAATGATGAACGAAGGAGATAAAGATGGCAGAAACAAGACTGTCATCTTCCTGGCTCCAAACCAGTCTCTGCCCTTACCCTGAGACCCCACTGTGCACAAACAGGCTGTCTCAGGTTTGAAGAACAGCCTTTATCTCAGATGGTTAGTTGTCTGGGGTGTGAATTTCAAACACAGTAATCCTAAAAGGAATCACAGACTCACATCTGAAATGTTTTCAGAAGTCAGCCAAAGCAGCTGGCAGTAACATCCTCTCAGGGGCCTTGTCTTGCCTGGTTTGGTGATGATGCCCAAGATCACATGGTGTAGGGCTGTCAGGAGCACAAGGGCCACGTGGTGAAGTTCACTGCCTTCAGTGCCATTGCTCTCTTCATTAATCAGCATCTAAGAGATGATGGCCATGGGGACCAGTGATCTGAGCCATCTACCAGAGACACAGGACTTGGAGCCAGCTACTGGGGAAAACAACATCCATGTAACAGGAAGAAGTCCAAGCACCAGCAAATAAATAAGGATGGCTGTGAACCTGGGAGGACTGTATGTCTGGGTGTCAGCAGATGGTGAGAGCAGGGAGATGTGGGGCCAGCTACTGGATAGACTAAGCACAACTACTGGAGCAATCAATATCTTGACACTATATATAGACACATACATGTGTGTGCACATATTCCACCAGCAGATTTTGCTCCTGATCAGGCAGAGAAGAGCCACAGCATCAGGCTGGCTGTGCTGTCCATTTGTGGCAGTGCTGCCTGTTGGGGTGTGTGGTGGTACGGAATTGCTTTTCCTTTCTGTTGATATCCCTATCAGGAATAATATTGTTGGTATTTATACCATGTTCACCTCTCTAATGGCTCAGTGTGGGGCCACAAAGCCACAGCAGCCTTGTGTTCAAAACACCACTGGATTCAACAGCCTCTAACAAAGACAACCATGCAGCTGTCTGTTTTTAACCACTGTTTCTTCCTTTTCTACCATATATTTAAGCACATTTTCTGTCCATTCACATATTCCCTGTGCTTTCAGTAGAATGAACAGAAGGATCATGACAGCCTGAGAAAGGTATCTCATGTCTTTTGACCACAGACATCCATTTGTTTCAAAATCATATTTGAGGCTTATAAGTCTGAAAGGATCATCATGCAGTCACGTTGCCATGAGAAAGCTACCTAGATTCCTCTCCTTTTCTTGACATATGGAAAAAAGGAAGGAAGAGATCTGCAGATATCATGGCAAATAATGTGCTTGCATACCAATATGTTCCAATTTTTTAAAATTAAATCTTTCATGAATGAGGAAGATAAAAAGAATTCTTCTGATATGGAAACAACAATTGCAGGCTGACAGATTCCTCTGGATCACTTAGTACTAAAAGACGGAATTGCTTCATTCAAAGCCCTTCACCTTGACTCATTTGGGAGACCAGCTTTGCCTCTAAGATAGGATAACAGAAAACAGCCAACTATGGAAAAACACAAGACTAGCATTCTCTTTCCTCCAAGAACCTGTTATTGCAGTTATCAAAGTCTTAACTCCAAAATGAAGAATTTCAGTGTCTCTTCCCTTCATATTCCCACAAAGCCCAAAGTGGTTCTATCAGGGATGTTACAGACTATGCCCTTGCCTAGTCTTTGCAATAGCTATTGATGATCCTGTTATCCATGACTCTGTGTATAGCCTTCATGACTGGTGATGATGTCTGCCTTCACAGCTTTGTCACAGCAGATTTTGAAAGCTCTTTGCCCTGTCATCAATGAAGATACGGAATAAAACTGGTCCCAACCTTGAGCACTGAAAGTCTCTGCTATTGATTCCTCCATCCTGAAAATCCTGTTTTAAACATCCAGTATTTGTATTTAACCAGTTTTCTTCTAAACCCATGGCAAAATTATTTCTTTTGCAATCTGATGAAGAACCTCAGCAAAGTTTTCTTAGCATCCAAATGCTTCATTTCCACCAAATCCCCAATACCCACACACTCACTGACAACCTCCGAGGACAGCAACACTTTAGTGAGGTTTCTCTTCACAGAAGCCACTGGCTCTTTCCTGACAAATTACTTGCTATTTAGCTACTTGCTTAATGATCTTACTACTTCTTACTGAAACCACCATTTCACCATGGTAATAGAGGTCACATGTATCAGTCTGAAGTTCCCCAAATCACTTCTAGAGCATATTTTGCAGGTGGCAATGTTGCTGGCATCTTACCAGTGCCACTCACTGTGGCTACTCACACCAAAATACTCATGTCCCATTCACATTTTAAAATAAATTACAAAATACCCATAGCACAGATCCCACAGTTAATGAAAATAACTTTGCATTTTGTACTATCTTTTTAAAAGTTGAGGCAAACTTCAAATACAACTGCAAATTTGTGTCTTGAGGGTTTTTTTCAAAAATAGATTGATGTAAAAACCCCAAACCACCAACACAGAAGTCAGCACAGAACAGTCTTCTTAATAGATACATCATATCACACTGAGTGGGCTGAATTGACTTGGAGATATTTAGCTGTTGTACTACTAATACACCTTTTGACCTTTGATGGAGTATTAATTCACACAATTAACTCTCATTAGTATAATGGCTCTGTGTAAGCACCTGTGTTCCAAATTCCACTCTGATTATATCCAGAATTATTTTATGCACTATATAATCCTAATTGGTAGTGTAAAACACATAGAGCTGAGCATACTAATCTGCCTCAGTATCCAGTGTGTTTTGTTTCACTTTGTCTTTATCCACCTTCTCTGAAAGCTAAACTCTCTATACTTCTTCCCTTGGTTATAACTTGAAACAGATTTTTCAAATACCATTTAACTACTCTGAGTGTATAGTAACTAGAAGTGGCTGATTTCCATAGAATCCAAAGGTGTTGCTGCTAATACTGATATAGGCTTAGTGCATCACCTGAAAATCTTATGTTCTGAATCAAAAATTAGTTTCTTGCTTCAAAAACATGAAAACATATAGTAATAGAAAGGGAAAACCAATCTTTTTTTAAACTGGCAAAACACACTGCCACCTCCAGGGGCTTATTAGGCTTTGCAGTGATCTATTGTCTCATTTACAGGTATTACTTCTCAAATCAGTCAAGATAGGCTCCTTCACAGGAAAATTTTGGTTTTAAAGGATTGGATACATTTAATTGTGATGGATAGGAGAATTACAGCAAGCCAAGAATCAGCAGGGCCAGCTGGGTCCAACTTACAGCAAGAGAGAATGTATCTGTGAAAGTCTTGCAATATGCTTCAGGCACTCGTGGGTTGGCTCTGCAAGATCACCTCTTCTTTCTTCGGGTTCAAGTTTAATGAACTCCAAATTACTTTCTGGAAAGTCAATCTTTATTTAAAAAAGGAAGAGTAAGGAGAAAGGAGAAAGACAAAAAGCTTTTAGCAATATGTATTCTCAGATTCAACTGTCAATATATGTTCTCTTGGATTTGTACAGAGAGTATACAAAATATGACAAAAAGAGGAGGGGATAATTATCTGAAGATGCTCCCTGTAAGCAATATGTTACTTAAATGTTTTGGTGATAAACTGAGTCCACAGAAATCAGGGGGAGCTAACTTTCCTGGGAGAATTTAATCCACTGTATTTCAATGTTATTAGAACTGCATGAACCCAAAGCTGAAGCATTTTTATCTTTTTTTCCTCTGTTTCTGGTTTGAAATGAAATGGTTCTTAAATGGAAAACTTTCATTAATGTAGGTTTGGTTTGGTTTTTAAAAGGTAAGGATAATTTTGGTGTGCGGATTGTCACAGTGAGAGAAGAAAATCAAATTCCTGATTTCACTCCTGATTGTTCAATTCCATATACATATATGAAATGCATACAGCAGCATTCAAAGGTTGGCTAAAGCCTTGAGCAACCTGGTCTAGTTGGAGGTGTCCCTGCCCAGGGCAGGGGGTTGAGAATAGATGATCTCTAAGGTTCATTCTAACCCCTTAACATTCTATGATATTTATTGTACAGCATCTACCAATTTTTCATACTTTACATTTAGCCACAGCTGTCAGAAATTTAGGATGCTTTTTAAGATACAGAGAAAGTAAGCATTCAACCAAAATTACAATGCTTGAGGTGCTTGATAATCTGAGTACAGACTTCTCTGAATATTCAGGTTGGTCCTCAAAATTTGCATCCTGCTTTGGTTTATTAATGCACACCCTAATCTTATGTACAATCTTATTTATATCTAATCCTATCTATATCTACTTTTTAATATATGTGTTTGATATGCATCACTTTTCTAAAGGTTAACAAAGTTATTCCCTACAAACCAGTCACATCAGAACACTAGATGATTCTAAGGTCTTCCAACCCAAGCCATTCATTCTATGAAATTTTATCTTTATGACATTTCCAGCATGTTCACAAAGAGTGATACTGTCACATGTATAGGGATAACTGAAAGCAAGGGGAAGAAAATGAGAGATCCTGTTCCATTTCTTTAAGTAGAGAGATATTATAAATTAATAGCCATTTACTGTCTCAACTTCCCTTTATTATTAATAGTGGGAGCTATTTTAAGGCATGGTCTTTGACTGAACTACTCAGACTAGAATATCCCCATTTGCTTCTGTGTTAAAACTAAGCTTTTTTTTATCAGCTTCATTTAGCTATATTATCTGCTTTTACATGTAATGTACTAATAGTGATCTAACATTTTAATACAGAAAACAATTGGCTTTGTCCTTGAAGTATCCAATTGCTAATTTAAGCTGGAAAAGTGACAAAACTACCATGCAAACCTAACGTATTTTCAATGCTGGGAGCACCACTCTCACCAGAATGAGTAGGTGCTTTGACCAGGGAAGTGATTGTCCCCCTGAACTGGGCACTGGTGAGGCACCTTTAACCCTGTGTCCAGTTCTGGGCTCCTCACTGCAACAGAGACATTAAGATTTTGGATTGTGCCCAGAGAGGGGCAAATGAGCTAGGGAAGGGTCTAGAGAGTAAGTACTATGAGGAGCAGCTGAGGGAGCTGAGGGTGTTTAGCCTGGAGAAAAGCAGGGTCAGGAGAGACCTCATCACTCTCTACAACTCCCTGACAGGAGGTTGTGGCCAGGTGGGACTCAGCCTCTTCTCCCAGGCAGCTAGTGACAGTACAAGAGGAAATGGCCTCAAGCTGTGCCAGGAGAGGTTCAGGTTGGACACCGGGAAGAATTTCTTCACAGAAAGGGCTGTCAGGCATTGGAATGGGCTGCTCAGGGAGGTGGGGAACCATCCCTAGAGGTCTTCAAGAAACAACTGGATGTGGCAGTTGACAAGGTGGCAATTGGTCGAAGGTTGGACTTGCTCTTGGAAATCTTCTACAGCCTTAATGATTCTGTGATTCCATGCTCAGCATGTAGTCATCCAGGGAGAGCTACACTGATGCCTATTGACAACTGCTTGTAGCCACTTCCCTTACAAATCCTTTCTGCTAGTCAGTATAATTGTAAGCTGTATGTTACAACTATAATGGCATGCAATTCAACAGCACTCACAACAAAAGCTCAGACTTGGCAAGGCAGCAATAAGTCAGGTACCAAGTCATTAATTTATGTCAAATGTAATTTGGGAAGCAAAGTTCTAACAACAAAAATCACCCTACAAAAACCTTCTCTTGCCCTCAGATGTGGTATTTGATATGGAAAGTATCAAACATATTTGCCACTGTGCAGAATTACAGGCTGTCATCCATTAACCTTAACATGCTTTGAGTGACTCTAATGGAAATATGATTTTTAATTTGTATGGTCTTGAGCTGTGGGAACATCCCTTTTTCTTGCACTTTGTTAGATAACGACCCTTTGCTTTGCTTTCTGGCTTTGTTACCTGCAATGTGACTGAGGTTGGTGTATCAGTACAGCAGATGCCTGGGGTGATCATTGTTGTTGTGAGTGTGCTGTAGAGAGTCATGCTGAGCAGCACAGATCCATGAATGAGCCTCCTACAATAAACACAGAGAGAAATACTGTAAGAGATAAGATGAACAGATTTTATTGAAATTACATCTAAGAACATGCAGCTGGAGAGCTTAAAGGACAACAAACCCTTTGTCTTTATGTGCCTAGCACCAATCTGGCCTCAATCAGTAGAGGTTGCACACTACTGGCCTCACTGCTATAGCAGCATCTGTGCATTTGCAGGTTCATGACACAAATGGCATTGCCAAGACATTCTAAGTCAGCTCTGCACTTTACCACTGACTTCCCTTGTGACAGGGGTTGCCCTTCAAGCTAGGTGTAAAACAAGGAAAATACTATACTTGTATCTCAAGATTTAATTTTGATGACAAGTATGCTAGAGACTGTGAAGTGTCAAGACACTGTAAAAGGTGGAGGGCAGGATCCATTTATGCCACAAAAAGAAGAAACTAATGGTAATCTACTGCAACCATGAAGAATCCTTGCTGATTTGATGTGTAGGTGGCAGTGAAGAGGGAGTATATCAGAGCTCCAAAGAGCTGAAAGAAGTTTCAGTGGGATAGTTCGTACCACATGAGCTACATATGAGTTTTGGACAGATGAAAGATTATGGTCTGAAGTACCACTCCGAGCACTACATGTGAAGTCTTATCAGCAAACCAGGCAGGCATGTGGCCTGCAGATAAGAAAACCAGCATGAGCTCACAGGGCAACACAAATCAGTCTAGAGAACTTGAATAAAATCAGAAATAACCAATCAACTCAAACGAGGAATGCAGTACCTGAATAAAGATACAGCACACTGGACTTACCCTTTAATTTGTCTGTATCGTAATCATTAGTGAGGTCAGAAATTTGATTATCTTCTTTTACTGACCAATACTTTCTAAATGCCATTTTCAAACACTGCTCAGTCAAAACAACTGAGAGAATTCGCTAGATACTCTTCTGCCCATTGCAGCAGGAAGAGCCAGACAGGCTAAGGAGATCTGAATGCACAGCTTTTACCTGAGAGGAGGATGTTAGAGATACAAGAGAACCCAGATGGACTTCTTGACCCCAGCATGAGTTTGAAACGTTCCTGTAAGTACCTTCTGAGGTGCAAACTGAAATAAATTGCTGAGAGTCATATGAAGATTTAAGAAACTCCACATAGTCACTGTTACAGTCAACATCAATTAGTACAAACCTAATTCGGGAGTAATTTTTCTTTTCCCCTTCTCAAGCTGTTCACGTTGTTAGTGCAAGCATTTTGTTTGATTGTGAGAACACAGCTCAGGAGGATTAAAGACAAGAATTTCCTGAAGTTTCTTTTGCAGCTGTAGGTGCATTTGCAGGGGAATGGAGAAATGAGCTGTAATGTGCACAAGACAACACTTGGGGGAAAGCAGTCGAGTGATACTACAAAGTCTTTCTCATTTAGGTCACAGATGTGAATGTGGAAGTGATCAATGGTGATTCAAAGCTGTTTTCCTGTGATGTGTACTCGGGAAGACCTTTAATAAATGAGTCGCATTCTTCAGCCACTCCTTTGTTGATGGGGATTTACATCATAATTTGAGCTAATTGGCACTTTTGTTAGAAAGGAGAGGAATAGTTGAGAACTGAATGAACATGAAGACTAAATTAGCCTTTTGAGTCCTCATTACTGCTAATCACTTTCATATTGTGTTCTAAAACTGTAGGGGGCTTTAAAAAAGAAGCCATAGAGTGGATTTTTTTCCTGGGAAACCTGTGTAGAAGTAGTACAGTCCTCAAAGGCACTGTAGATGTGTTTATTTGAGACATTTCCTGAGCTCATTATTTCAACTCATTTACATCGGTACAGATGCAGCTAAAGACTGTCCAGGCAGATAAGGAAGGATGGGCAGATGGGCAAGTCAATGGAACAGCAGCAGGGGCCACGTGGTGGAATGAAAGAATAAAAAGATGGATCACTATTTTTAGAAAAAGAAGCAGGAGAGTGTGAGGGTTCCATTCAGAGAAGGAAGGAATTAGCATCATGAGCATGGTAACCATAATCTTCACTGAATGGACAGATTCCTCTGCTACCCTGTCCTGCTGATGAGCTCAGGCAGGTCACTCCCTGCTCTGCCTACCAGTTTTCCCACCTGCAAGGTGAGGGCAGTGACACTGACCTTTTAAAGACCATGCAATGATCACAGCTATAGACAATGGCTTTCATGTAACCCCTGGCATAGGTTGCCCAGGGAGGCTGTGGCTGCCCCAACCCTGGCAGGTTGGATCAAGCCTTGAGCAACCTGCTCTGGTGGGAGGTGTCCCTGCCCAGGGCAGGGGGTTGGGACTACATGATCCCTAAGGTCCATTCCAACCCCTTAACATACTATGATACCTTCAGCATCAAGCACATCAGAAGGTGAATAAACAAGTGCTGCCCTGCACATAGCATTTAATTATTGATATGCTCATGCATAACCAGCACAGACAGGAAGCCCTGGAATTACACAGATTCTTAGCTCCTGTTTATTACCAGAGATAAAACAGTTACAGAAAAGGACACTGCTGGTCACAGGCAGCTCGACTTATCCCAACCTAATACCATCAACCTCCTGCCCTGAAGTCACAGACTTCCCTCCCACACCCAGCAAGGGGAAAGTTTTGTTGCTTGCTCTGTCTGCTTTGCAAACACCAACTCAACATAAACTGTGGTGTTCAAGTCAGTGAAGTCAGTGCAATGGGCACTGTGGGGGACATTGTGACTCCCAAATTGCCCCAAATGATGGATTTCTGGTTTGTTAATTAGCTCTGGATCACTAAACTATTCAGCCCAAGAGACAAACACAGTTTCTGATGCGAGGGAATGGAAAGTTGGCACATAGGCTTACAAATGCTTTTTGAACTGCCTCTCACATCTAATAAGACCTCTTGATACAGAAGCACCATCAAGGGCTCTATTGGCTTTGATTTAGGGACACTGTCTAAAGGCAACTACCTGATAAGGCTAAGAAATGCAGACCTGGAGGCTCAGCCACTGGACAAGTTGGCAGCTACACTCGTTATTACCATGTTCATTCCCAAACATTAGTCTTCCTGTTTAGGCTGGATATACCAGGAAAATTAGGACAAAATACTGTGTAAAAATAACATAATTATCCCCAAATCTGACATTACTACATTCAAAACTAAGGTTAAATATAAAGGAAATCCAAAGCTGCTAAAATATAACCACCCAATATATCTTATGACCTAAGCAGTCTTAATTCTGCATTGGAATGATGCTATGAAGTAGCTACTTTTTTATAATTACAAATTCAAAATAGAGACATAATTTTCAACTCCAAAGTAACGCTAACTGTCCTAAGGACCACATATTCCATCCCCACATCCCCTTAAATAACTTCCTTAAACTTGAGGTGTCAAATACATCAAATAATACAAAATAATCAGCTTATTCCAGACTTTTAAAGCAAATTTTCAGTTATGTTCCTGATTACTTCCTCAATTTCACCCCCAAAAGATAAAGTTATAAAAGAAGTTTACAAGCAATAATTTTAAAACAACAACAAACAACTACATATAGGCAACCGTTGGGGAATATTTGCAGGGAGTCAGTTTGGTAAAGAGGGAAACAGTTTGTACACAAACATGCAAAGTTGATAAGGAGTAATCCTAACACATTTGATAATGAGTAAAGAGGCTGCCCTGAATATCCAGCCACAGTATAAATCTGCACACTGCAAGGGAACTTTCAGAATAGGGATAATAAATAACAATATAATAATATAAATAATAATAAAAGGAATGCAAAGTAAGCAAATCTGAACTTTACTAAACATCTGTTCACTGACAAGTCTTTAACAACAACAAACCTAAACAAGGCCAAATTATCAAGAGCATTCTCAGCTATTGTGTGGTTTCCAAATGGGTTAGGTATGAGGTAGAGATTGCAAGAAGAAATAGTAAGTAATATGCTTTAAATAAAGAGCTATCATTTGCCTCCTTACCTATATATATATGTATTTCTCATACAGTCTGCTTAGTACTTTTTTTTAGAGGAGAACTGCAGTGTTAAAGTTACTCAGAAAATAACTACAGCCCTTTGATCTAGCAAGTGACTTTGACATGGTGTGGCCCAAAAGCATAAGAAACTTGACACTTCTTGAAGCAGATGTCAGGGATTTGTATACTTTGTATGTTAAAATAAGTTCAGGTTTTCTTAATTTTCACACCAAACAGAAAGAATTAAAATGCAAAGGAGAGAAGTGACCATACAATGGTAATCATTTTGGAAGAGAAAATAGATCTAAAATTTACAGAGAGGAATAATTTCAGAGTATTTTAAAATAAAGTGTACTTTTGTCCTGTCACTAAAAGATCAAGATTTCTAAGTAATATCTGGGAATAACCCAAAACTGATAATTTTTATTCCTCCTCTCTTTATCATAAATCACAACCAGCCTGAATGGAGTTCCTGTGTCTTTAATCAGAAGACATAATGGGACAGAAATGAGGAACTGAAATGAAAGTAATTTAAATTAAATGAAAATTAAAATCTAGGAATTAAAGTGTTTAACACATTTTTTCCAATGTTTAGCAAAACAACGTATTTTGTTCTTTTAACAAGCATCTGAATAAAGAAAGAGAGGCCACACACTGTCCTTATCTTCACTGACCCTGAGAAGTGACCAACTGGGACAAGGATTTGAAGAAGGATGTTGGATGACCCAGGCAAATACCTCAGGGCCGTTGGCTTCTCTAAAGAGCTTATTTCTGTCCTTTCCCCTAGAAATTAAATCCTAGACATGAGAATGTTAAGACTTTTTTAGAACTCAAATTCACTGCTAAGAAAAGTTTTCTTTTGAGAAAGTGCTATTTTCCAAGCTACATATGTTTTGTCAAAGATTTTCTGGTCAGATTTCTTTAATCTCTTTATATACATTTACAGAGTTTGTTATTTAGAGACCCTAAGACCATAATCTTTGCAATAATACAAGGTACTCTTGACATATTAGCATGACGCTACAGGTACAAATCTTTTCTTGGTACATACTTTCAAGTTCAGAAGAACTCTATTCAAGTAAGTCTTGAAGTTTAGCTGC